GATACGCAAGAAGCCATTCAATTAGCTAGCACTGAGAGGGAAAGTAGAGGAATTCAGAGTGTCACTTCAGAACAGGTACTCCGCTCTTATCGAGCAAACCAGCCTTAGCATTGATGCAACGAATGATAATCTGACCATTATCATTAGGTAGTGTGCAGTTGAAGTTGAAGTTACGGTACTTAGACACTGGCAAGCTTCCCCAAGAAACCAAGAACCTCATTAAAAAGCGTCAAAGCATGAAAGTCTCTAGTATAACAGACAAAATTAGAGTGCAGAGCTTTCGAAGTTGATTAACAAGCATAAGGTATCCGATGTAAGAAGGTATAACATGGAGAAAATTGAATACACTCTGAAAAAGGGAGGAAGCATCAAAGCAGTGAACAGGGAACTTGGGATAGGCAGAAATCGGATGTATGCACTAAGGGATAAAGAAGGCAAAATAACTACGAATATGAATAAGATAGTTAAAATAGCAGAAGAGTTTTACAGAGGCCTGTACAGTAGCCGGGACAACCGCGACCTTAATACTATAAGAACTAGCAGTAACCCAGATGACACCCCACCAGTAATGATAGAAGTAGTCAGAAAAGCCTTGGACAGCATGCAAAGAGATAAAGCTGCTGGTGAGGACCAGGTAACATCAAATCTGCTGAAAGATGAAGGACAGATTGTGTTAGAAAAACTAGCCACCCTGTTTACGAGGTGCCTCCTGACGGGAAGAGTACCAGAGTCTTGGAAGAATGCTAACATCATCTTAATACATAAAAAAGGAGATGACAAGGACTTGAAGAATTACAGACCTATCAGCTTGCTCTCTGTAGTATACAAGCTATTTACAAAGGTAATTGCTAGCAGAGTTAAGAAAACATTAGAATTCCATCAACCAAAGGAACAAGCACGATTTCGAAGAGGCTACTGAACAATTGACCACATTCATACTATCAATCAGATAATAAAGGAATGCTCTGAATATAGCCAACTACTCTATATAGCCTTCATATATTACGAAAAGGCGTTTGATTCAGTAGAAATATCAGCAGTCATGCAGACATTGCGGAATCAGGGCGTCGATGAAGTATATATAAACATTCTGGAAGAAATCTACAGGGGATCAACTGCTACCATATTGCTTCATGAAGAAAGCAACAGAATACCAATCAAGAAGAGTGTAAGGCAGGGGGATACAATTTCCCAAATGCTATTCACCGCATGCTTACAAAGGTTTTCAGAGGCGTAGAATGGGAACAGTTGGGGATAAGAGTTAATGAAGAGTACTTTAGTAACCTGTGCTTCGCCGATGACATTGCATTGCTGCGTAACTCGGGGAACGAATTGCAACTCATGATTATGGAGTTCGACAAGGGGAACAGAAAGGTGGGTCTTAAAATTATTCTGCAGAAAACGAAAGTAATGTCCAGCAACCTTAGAAAAGAGCAGCGCTTTGAGATAGATAATAGTGCACTTCAAGTTGTACAAGACTATGTCTACTAAGGGCAGGTAATAACCGTGGAGCCGTACCACGAGATTGAAGAAACTAGAAGAATAAGAATGGGGTGGAGCACATTTGAAAAGCACTCTCAAATCATGACAGGTAAATTCCACTATTCCTCAAGAGGAAGGTATATAACAGCTGCATCTTGCCGATACTTAGCTATGGAGCAGAAACCTGGAGACTTACAAAGAAGGTTGAGCTTAAGTTGAGGATGACGCAGTGAGCAATAGAAAGAAAAATGGTAGGTGTAACCTTAAGAGACAAGAAGATAGCAGAGTGGATTAGGGAACAAACGGGGGTTAAGGATATCATAGTTGAAATCAAGAAGAGGAAATGGACATGGGCCGGGCATGTAGCGCATAGACTGGATAACCGCTGGTCATTAAGGGTAACTAACTGGATTCCCAGAGAAGGCTAGCGATTTAGGGGGAGACAGAAGGTTAGGTGAGCAGATGAGATTAAGAAGTTTGCAAGTATAAATTGGCAGCAGCAAGCACAGGACCGAGTTGACTGGCGGAACATGGGAGAGGCCTTTGTTCTGCAGCAGATGTAGTCAGGCTGATGTTGATGATGATGGTGATGATGATGATGAAGTGACCCCGCAGGATGTGTTTCAATGCCCTAGACACAATTCGCTAGTTTCTCGGCAAGTAGAGCGGTAACATGGAAATGGACCACTTCTTACCATACGAGTCAAGAGCTACCAAATAGCTGCAAGGAAAGGCTCGGCAAATTAAGCTTACTGACTTCTGGCAATAAAATGTGTTTCAGTCAATTCCTTGTCCTTTTTGCAGTATTCTCCCGCCAATGAAATTCTAGCAAGAGCTAAATATTTTGCTTTTCATGTTGATGTCGTTATTGCAGGTTTCAACTGCAATGACAAAGCATAGCATTTTCATCCTCTTAAAATTACTACAGTTATACCTTGTTGACTCAGAGTAGCAACAAGCGAAAAAAAATTTGAGATTGCAAAAATTTCGGTGAAGTCATGTTCATTCTGCGAGTAAAGCCGCTATGCGGCTATGACTTGATGACTTCATGCACTGTCAGCAACTTGACGAAAGCACATGCGAAAAAATTCACATGCAGTGTGTGTCTTCTTTTTTTAATGATGGTTTTTTGATTGTGCTTTTTCCAAGTTCAGTCTCAAAGTCTTTGCTGCTACTGACCAGCTATGTAACAGAGCTTCTAAAGTGATTCCTCATGAAGGTTAGAAATAAAAGAATAAAGTTATCTGGCGCTGCAATTTTATTCGGTGAAGAGCAATCCTAGTAGGGCATCCTCGAGTTGCTTTGCACATCTCTTTTGCCAGTTGTCCCCACTGCTGCACTTTACTATTTCACAGTAAGCATGTTTTCTAATTTGGCTTGTGTCAGCACCTCGATGGTACATAGTTTAATCTAACTGCCTCATTAGAGCAAAAAGCGCAGGCAAATGGGACAAGTAAGGCAGACAGGACCTCAAGCTGGTCACCAACATGAGCATTGATTCTGTGGGCACGAATATATGTGCCTCTTTGGAAAAGGAAATAACAAAAGGAGGGGAAAAGAAGCACTGTGCATGTCCCTCGACCGGTACATGTTCAATTCCTTTGTTATTCAAGACTGCAATTTCTCAGCAATGCTTGTAACTATACGCAGTTTCCATTATCTATCTTGGTCTTGTATGTGCTTGAATTCTTATACATTTTTAGTTGACTTATGTTGCCTTCCTGATTTGCGCATCTGTCACTTGTTTCTTTATTTTGTCTTTTTTTCTCTTGTGTGTGACAAATGTTGTACCCACCCCCTCTGTAATGCCCTACGGGCCCTGAGGGTATTCTAATAAATAAATAAATAAATAAATTAAGGAGGCTATTAACCTTCTTGTTGATTGCTGGATGGAAGGGTGCGCCTACACACCCAATGGAATAGAACGCTTTGTAGATTTATCCTATGTGACAATCACGATATCTGCACTAGATTCACATCTCTTCAGCATAAAAGCGCCAGCCTCAATCGGTTTCCATGTTACTTCCAGTTTTGTTGTTGAGGAGGTTCTTGTGCTCTCGCACCCTAACCACCTACCCAATGTAGCGGCCACCACAAGACATTGCTATCTCATAGATGATTTGTTAGGATAGGGCTTGTTGGTATTGCCTGATCTGAAGTAAAAGGTGCAAAGAAGATAGTGGATAAAAAAAGAAGTCTACATAAATAGCTACGTAGCTATAATCGATAAAAATGATCGCATTCTGTGAGTGCCATAGACTTAGCATACAAAGTTTCAGAAAATTTCATCAATCCAATGGCACGAAGATATTGAAAACACATTTTGCAATTTGTTACGACACACGCGGAAATATTGGCGTGAAATTTAAAAATGAGCCTTCAACCTTGATTTTCTCCGTATGTAATGAAGTTACAATAGTGAAACATATGGCACTGGCATTCTCAGAGAACCGTCGATGAATCTATAAGAAGTCAATGTTCCTCTTTAGTGTCCCTTCAAATTAACTGTGTTGTAAGTGGTAAAATAAAGGTGCTGTGTGTGCAGTGTCTTTTTTCATCCGTCATCTTGCTTCTTTGTGCATTTTACCGCAGGTCTTATAACTTCGGTCTTTGAAAACACAGGCTGCATTGCACGTTGATCCTTGCAAAGAGACGGATTTTTTCATGAATTAGTTGAGGCTCATGTGTAGGGTTTCCCTTTTCCCTCTTTTTGTTTTTGTTACTTCCCTTTCCAAAGAAATGTATGTTTCTGTCCCTGCGAAAAAAAAAAAGCTCATGTTGTTACCCAAGTCCTGTATTTGTATTGTTCTGTTTCGTGTGATGAAGCCATGCCAACAAGCTCAAGTTTACTCTAAGTTACCACAATTTTTTTTACAATATGTGCTCAAATATTTTACAACACATGAGAGACATTGTTCTATTGTCACCTTTAAAAATTGAATACAATAGCCATCACCAAAAAGGGTCGTGAAAATTCATTCAGTATACAGTCAGGTCTGCATGACGTCTCAAGAAAGTAGCTGGTTGAATACAGCCGTGGTTCATATGGAAAGGAACTGTTCATTCGGAAAACTTTCTCCATATATTCTTGTGCCCAGCTTTGTTGCTTTGAAATTTGTTTAAGTAAATGTGTGTAATTACGCAGCTTGGCGAAACTGGTGTAATAGTAAGCAGCATAAACTTGTTCATGTTGCCATGGAGTGCATCAGCATATCTTTAAACTCGACTGTTCATGGCTGGGGCACCCTGTATATGACCAACCGCCAGGGACACCATTATTGACAGCATATTTTCATATAAGGTATAAAAGCGTATTACAAAATTCACCCTTCTCAATATTTGATAATGTTTGCAGTATTGATAATAACACTTGTTGAGGTTTAACATCCCAAAACCACCATATGATTATGGGAGACGCAGATTTGCAGTATTGAATAAAGAAATATGGCAATAAATAGTTAGAACGTACTTTGTTATGTATGATTACTTGTTAGTGAGCTCAGGAGGTTGCTTTGCAGGATGCAAGAGCTAGGAATCCGGCCTGACGATAGAGTTGTCTGCTTTGGCCAGCTGTTGGGAATGTGTGACCAGGTCAGCTTCCCATTGGGTGAGTGCGCGTCATTCTTTTGCCTTTGTCACACCTACTGTCTGCGTCTCTTTACATGCTTGCATGATCAGTTTTGTAGCAAACTACGGTTGCCATCATTTTGCTCCAAAACAGCATTTTAGCTAAAAATTTTGCCATACCGCTATCCAGTGAAGCACAGGAGCACCCGTTGGTATAAGAAATGAACGCAAAGCTGCCTGATACAGTGCGAAACAGTGCATCGTGACTGCAAAAGAATGTAACAGTGCTATGTTAGAGGGCATCAGCAAAAGAGCAAGCGAGTGGAATCTTTAAAATAGACCTGGCATGGGGCGAAGGATTTCTCTGGCCCTGTGTAGTTTTCGTCACATTAATGTGAAATATATCACAGTGTACCTTTTTTTTTTAACAGCCCGTTTCCAGCAAAAAGGAAATAGGCTAACAGGAGACCTTCTTCTTGGCCTTGTTATGACATTTTAAGGGCATGAACATGGGCGGCACTTCCAACTGATTCAGATCAGCTGGAAGCTGTGTTCGTGTCTGTCTTGAGTTGTCTTAACGTGAGGCCAGATGTCATACACGGGGGCTTTCCAGGACAATTGTATAGCAGTGTGGGTTCAATTCCACCTCTGGTTGGAATGCATAAATGCTGAAAGAGAATTTGTACTGTTTGTTCTAGGCCTCTCTCCTTCCACTGACCATGTACGTGTGACATACAAACACTTACCACTGCTGCCCTTCAGTTCTGCAACGCCATCTTTTCAATCATGTGCACCAAGTAGTAGCACATACATCAACCGGCTTAAGAAAATCACTTGAGTGGGTAGGAGTTATCTCACAAGGTTGCCCCGCTCTCAAGGATATTGGGAAAGAAAATGCTCCGTGTGATATTAAGGAGGCAATAACAGTAGTAAAAGTAAGCCAAGATGTTCTGTTGCTTGCAATGCTCAGACCATCATTCATGTTGTAGTGACATATTAGAATGAAATGTGCCGTAGAAGTTGAGGAATAAAAGCACTTTACTGTTGTCAAAACCAATGAGACGATTGGGCTTTGCAAGGTGCAAATCTCGCAGCTTTTCCTTGGCACAGTGCTGCCATCATTTTAAAGATTTTAAAGGAGCCCTGCAACACTTCTAGAGCATGGTCAGAAAACGCTGCCAATCAGCAGTTGAGGCTCCCAGGGACATGCAAGCCAATTGTTATAATACAGCGTGCGGCCTTGAATTCACTATAAATTCTCATACTCAGCTAAAAATTTCTTTCTCTTTTCTCAGCAAATGATGCTACAACCTCAAAAATCACATGTCATAGTCATCGTATCGGCCATTGGCTAATTTGAGAGTGCCGGACTCAGTCAGTGCCGGTTTGCTGCGGGAGGCTGAGTCTTGTCCATGCAAGTGAGTGCAATTGCACTGAAAAGCCATGTATTTAAAGAAAAAAAAAAACAAAAAATATATGCTCAAGGTTACAAGGCACTCATGACATATTTTCTTTTCCATTGCCATCCCTCCCTGCCTAACTTCCAGCACATTCGTTGAGACTAGAGAAGAAAGAATACAATAGCAGTGTGCGACGAATTTTTGTAACTTCACTTGTACTCGACCGATTATAAAAACTTTTACGGCAGTGAATTCGTGGGTCAAAAACTTCACGAATTCACAGCCACCAAAAATTTTCAGAATCCATCCAGTACGAGCGGAGTTACAAACATTTGTCGCACACTGCTATTGTATTATTTAGTGAATTGCTAAAGAATACTATTGCTCCATTACTGAATTCATTTTACGGCTACTTAAAAAAGCATTGCAGGGCCACTTTGAAGTGGCCACCGGGCCGAATTTCTCCAATGAAGATTTGAGACCAGGCTCGTCTCTCTTTTGCAACTTCTAGCTATGTTCTCTCAGCTTTCATCTTTTGTGTGGTAGCGGTCAGTCATCTGCGTGATATTTTAAATGAAGTAGGCTTACCATACGAAGCAACCGGGAAGGGATGCGATGCTCTGCACTGCTGTCAAGCACAAAGATGCAATGGCCGGGTTTGTCGACTTTCCGACATGACACAGAGATGGCATTCAAGGCAGGTCGTCAACACACACGGGTTCATTTACCCAAAATACAGCACAGTGTAACAATCGCGGACTTGCAGGCTGCCAGGAAACTCCACAAGACCGCTCGAGTACGCTATCCTGCAGCGTAATGGCTGCCGCAAAATGGGGTACCACTGAAGCGCAAGAACGAGAAGTCGGCGACAAAGGCAGAGCATGACTTCCTTCGTTTCAGGCCTGCAAAAATCCTCGAAGCCCACCCAGCGTGCCAGCACTGCGCAGTAGCAAGCCCAAGGGAGAGAGAGGGGTGTCACCGGCGGCTGATGATTGGCGGATCGCGGTGACGTGTGCCTCCGTAGTGTGTGCCGGTGTAGCATGTCTGGGCTTGCCGGCTACTTGAAAAGCAGCGGACTACTCGAAGCTTAGCTTTCTGAAGTCAGCCAATGCAGCAAGCTTCTTTTTCAGTGGCTGCCGTTGCTAACATCGAAATTTATGCCTTGCTATAGAATTATCAAATGTCTTCGATTCTTACTCGTCACTTAGTTTGTCTAATGCATACTTTAAGTTTTTTTGCTGCCTGTGTCGGTTTAAAGTAAACGTGTCTGTTCAACATGGATAATTGCTAGGCTTTCATGCCAAACAAGATATCATTTTGAGGCACAATCTAGTGTGGGTATTGGGATTAACTCTTTCGTTACCACCTCTATTTATATCGATCACCGGTAATTGACGCTTTTGGATCATGGATTTCGGCATGTTAAACTTGTTTCTCATGCACCCAGCACTTTCTAGTAGTTAGTGCAGCCACTCAATTTTCAGAATAAGTTTGAATTTACCTGTTTGGACAACGTAGTGATTTTTGACAGACTTTTGTGCGAACCAGTGTGCATGATTGTTGAAAAAAGTGCACTAGGCTGGCAAACTTGACAGAAGTGCATGCCGCTCGTGATTATGATACAGTAACATCGAAGTTCTGTAATGAAAAGAACTTTTGCAAGCCAAATATCGAATTAAAGTGTCAGCTTTGCAATTTTACTGTGTTGAGCAGTAATGATATCCAGAAATTTATGCCATATATTCAATAGAAAGCTCTTCTTAGGAGTATGGAAAGGTTCGTTCTACAAAAAATATTTGTGAAGGTCCGCCGTGTGTTCAAAGTGTCGAGGTGGCCTTCTACGACAGTTTCCAGCAGCTTTGGTTGTGCTTTCATCGTTATATCAGACACAGGGTCGCATCTAGTGTCACTAGTCGCTCCTATGATGTTGTCATCACGCGCGCATGGGTGTGCATCAGAGCTGAAAAACACATGCGCTGCTCCAAACTGTCTTGCGACCCCATCTGAATTGAGTGATGACCAGCTTAGCATTCGAGGATGACAGCACCACAGCTTCAAGTTTTATGGTGACAATGTTTTGAGTCAGCCTAATGCATCCACAGACGTTCAAGGGTTTGTTTTGTTTACATCCTCAAGTTGTTTCCTCGGCCGCAAGTGTGTATAGCTTCTGACCTTTGCACATAATTTTATAGCTACTCTGGTTACGTGCCCGGTCCACACTTCGCTGGGGCGCAGTGTGCTAGTGCTGGCCGCAGAGCTTCTCCTAACAACAAGAAGGCCCCCGGAGCACATCTTGGCCCTGACTACAGAGCAGTGCGAAACGTTTTAGAACTGCATGCAATATTGTTCATTTTTTAATACGATATTTGCAAAAATACGAAGAAATATGCTTGGGTGCATATATTGGAACGCCAATCTATGCGTTGTAAGGTATGAAAAGAGGTGACGCTAGATGAAATAGCGAAGTTCATTAGACATCTCATTTATAGAGAGATTATTCATATCACGGGTATCTATATACCTCCAATGGAACTCCAGGAGACTCTTGTCGCAACACAACAAAAATTTGCTGAGAAAAAGTGTACAAGTACACTTGCATCTCACGAAAAACCATGCAGTGCTTCACCACATGGCACAAGACGATGGCGCCTAGGTATAGACGGTGTAGCCTAGGTATTTACTTGTGAGAAACTCTGTGGTTCTACAATTACACTATAACACAAAAGACAGTCTGAAGATTGTGAAAAAAAAAAAGAGAAATTAAATGTTTTCAAATTTAAATGCTTCATTTCTTCAATTATGTTTGGAATGGATTTTGAGGCTAAATGCTGTGGTCTGCGGCTTGACAGAGGTCCAGAAATCAAAAACACAAGGCAGGACTTGATTTCAAGGCACCCGACTTACATGTACAATACCGTCCACTGTTAAAGGGAAAGCTACAGTGAGCACCGTTCATATTGTCAGTCTTCTAGTAGTAAGTGGATAAGTTAACAGTGCTTATGCACAGCACTAGTTTATCAAAAGGAGCCAGAACTGCCAATCACTGGTCGTCTCACGTAAACTTAGCCACTATGCCTTTGCAAGAAAGTGGGATGCAAACATGCTGTGCTGCTGAAGCAATGCAGTGGAGGTCATGAAATGCTTGATAGTGGGCAAACGCACGTAAAATGAACGCATAACACAAAATGCATACAGGTGACATGTCCTCATAATGTTGTATGACTCAAAATAATATGCTGTGGATTCGTGAAGCAATCGATAATGTCAATGTTTCGAATGGCTTTCTTTTGCAATAAGTAAATTGTCGTTATGTTTCCTTGTGTAGCGATTACAGATACCAAACTACAATAATTAATATGTGATGCAAAGAGTGCATAATAAATTTGTGATTGGACTTGCAATGGACGAATAGTGCGGCAACGCGTCATAGCTCCTGTGCTCATTGAAACCTTTTGCCACAAATTGGAGATGTGTGTGCCCCTCAAAAGATTGGAGCTATGTGTAACACAAAAAATTTTACGTTCATTAACAATTTAATTCCTGTGTTTGCCGCAATACATAACTTTCTACAAATCAATCGATTTATTTTGGGCACGAGAAAACATTACTTTAGTTTTAGTTGGATTAATTTTTAGGCAGT